TGGGATTAATTGAAAAACCATATGCGTGAAAATTTTTCCATTTCAAAAAATAAACTCAACCGGAAGTACTGAAAATACACCTTGAAAATGCAAGCAACGAGACATATTTATGTACATATGTAGGTATGTGGCAAGTTGCATAGCATTTAAAGCATTGCGACACTCGAATGTGCAACGCGTAAGGCGCTGAATGTTGCTTGCAAAGAAATTTGCTCTTGAGTGAATTTAAATGCTGAAAATAAATGAAAGCGGAATGAAATGAAAAATAAAAAGAAAACGAAAATAAAATGTGGAAAAAAAACGATGAGTGAAGGAAGGTAATGGTAGAATGAAGAGAATAGTAGAATGCAGAATAAATAAACTGACACATACGAGGACGCCATTGCTGGGGCGCACGGCTTGCAGTAATGCAAGTGGATAGTAAAGTGGCCTGCACTGCAGCGGAGAGTGGTGTACACACCGCCGTACGGTGGATGCAATTGCAATTGCAGTGGTAGCTTAGTACGGCAAAAGAACTTCAGTTGGAAATTTGCATTGCAATCATTTGCAATTCGCATTAAGTTTATAGCTCCTATAAAGCTATGCAAAGGTAAAGGTAACAAAAAAGAAGACAAAAAAAATAAAAAAATAAGAAAATACGGCGATGAAGTAGCTACGCAGTCGCGCTTTAAGTTGCGAGTGCGTATGCAAGCTTTCTTTCACAGCATCGCTATTTTATATTCACCGGCATCCTTCACCTGCTTGCGAGTACATATATTACCTCTTTACATTCTGCTTTTACTACAAGCATTTTGCTCTCCTCTAGCACATTAACATTTTTTTATATGTATGTACTAATTTTTTTCCTTTAAATTTCTCTTTTTCCTACCTCATTGCAGGCTCGCATCCGCCACGGATTGTTGAGCATCCGATAGATACGACGGTGCCGCGGCATGAACCGGCGACACTTAATTGCAAAGCGGAGGGCTCGCCAACGCCCACAATCCAATGGTTTAAGGATGGTGTGCCACTGAAAATACTGCCAGGCTCCCACAGGATTACACTGCCGGCAGGTGGTTTGTTTTTTCTCAAGGTAAGCCAAATAGCCAACAACATTGGCAACAGCAATCTTAAATAGTTTTTTCGCTAGAGCAGTAAAATTTTGCTGCCGTACATACTTTCATGCGTGTTCGCCCGCGCGGCGCTTGGTATGCATTTCTATTTAATTTAAATTTTTTACTATTTGCTGCTTATTTTGTGTTTCGCTAGCTTTTTTTCTCATCTCTGATTTGCTTCCTTTCTGTCATTTGTCCGCGCTGAGCCGGATTTATGGGTCGACTGCAATGTTAATGGCAATGCTTCGCGCACTAAGCTTTGTAAATGAGCCCGTGGCGGTGCAATTATACGAAGGTATAACAACAGTTGGATAATTCTTTTTTTTTTTAATACAAAAATATATATGTACATAAATACATACATACATACATACATATACACTGCCGGCACAAAGTATATGCGCAGCCAATTTTTCACAATATAAGCAAAAATTTTAATATTTAATATTTTTCCGCCAATTTTGTATAAAAATGTGGTTCATTCAATAACAGAAAACATAAAAATATCATTCCTAAACTTTGTGCAAAACTCGCGAAAATTCAGCAAATTTTCATCCAAATTTTCATTTTTTTAATCAGATTTGATTATGCAGTTTTGCAGCCCATTAAATTCTAGTTAAAAAAAATGCAAGTTCGGAGTTAGTCAATGCGATTTTTGAGAATTTTTTTTTTTTTGTTGAAGGTGTTTTGCATTTTTCCATATCAAATATGTTCGGAAAAATTTTTTGTATGGACACTGTTTGAAAAAAATTTCAAAAAATCAACGGTAATTCCTAGCTACTTAAAATTGCACTTTATTTTAATAAAATTGATTGGGCTACAAATTCGCATACTCAAAAAAAATCTAAAAAATCTTATTAAAAAGTTGAAAATTTGATGAAGTTGCGCGCGTTTTGCACAAAGTTTAGGAAATATATTTTAATGAATGAATGAACTATATATTTTAAAGAAGTTGGCGGAAAATTATTAGAATAAAAAATGTTGCATGTGAATGTGAAAAATTTGCTGTGCCGTACTTTGTTCCGGGAGTGTATATGGACGTGCATAATTGTTTATCTAATATTATCTATTATCTCTTATGTATTTACATTAAATTGTTTGCTCTCCAGTGCTAGACACTTTTGCCACAGGTGCTGGTATCAACTATGATGACGTTGTGTTGCTTAAATATGAAGATGTTTTTGCCTTTCTCACCTCTCATTTTAGTTTTCTTTATTTATTTTATGACTACCTATTTATTGTTCATTTCAAACACCACATAAAATGGGTATGGAATTGTGGGTGGCTGAAGATATTAAGAAAAACAATTTTTTCCAAGTGCTCTGGCAATATTGTCCATTATACTAAGGACTAGAGACATGTGGGGTGAGATTTCATTGCTTCTCTGCATACTTACCAGACTCCTTTATGAACCTTAGTAGTTTGTTGAGGGAAAGAGAATGTATCTTGTCCATTCTCAATAACTTTTACTCGCTCTATCACTCTGTCTCTCACTCTCGGACCTAAAAATGTACTCTCTAAGTCTGGCGAGAACCGGACAGCGGCAGAGAAAGTGCTGTGTACTATCCCCATCCTCAAAATAAGTTGTACACAGTTGATCGACGATGATGCCTATAGTGACCATACGTGTTGTGCCCCGTCCAGTACCATTTTCAGACTTTGAGCCACCGGGGTAGAAAGTTTTCATCGAGCTTCCTAAGATAGTGTCTCTACATTGCTCCCTTGTAACCGATTTGATTGCCTCCCTTGGAACACTTAATCCAGTATGTACATTAGTGAGGGTCAAATTGTTCGAAAGAAATTTTTTCGATAAATCGCTTGGTATTTTCGGTTTCTAATTCTAAATAAACGTGTAGAAGAAATCATGAGTTGTAAATGAGTTTCGAGCCTGCGCTTTTTTAAAAGGAAAATTTAGTTTTTCAAAAAATTTTATTTTTTTGTCCTATGCCAGTTTTAAAAAGTGTTCGTGAAAAGGTATTTTTTTCATTTAGAGATGAGCAGGCTCGAAACTCATTTACGACTCATGATTTTTTCCATACTTTTGCTTAGAATTAATTATCTGTCCAAAAATACCATGCGATTTAGTGAAAAAAAAGAGTCGACCCAGCCAAATGTACATTAGGCATATAACTTTTTACAATTTTTGCAAATACGAAAAACGGCATACCATAGTCGAATAGAGCATAAAAAAGTATGAACCCCCATTATTTTTTTTTTTGCAAAATTGCAAAAAAGTTTCCGTGCAAAACGAAATTGCTTTTTTAACAGAACTGCTGAAAAAAACAAAAAAAGTTTTCTACAGTGTACACGTTTTTCTTCATAATAATAGATATTTATTTAACTAATAATCTTCCTATTATTCCAAACGTCTTTTAATGGACCTAAGGGAAGTGCCCCACCCACCCCAAACTAATTTTTCTTCAGAAAATTCTGATTCAATATTAAAAAATTTAAAAAAGAAAAAGCAAGTTATTCAAGAACTCGCATAGTCAAATAATAATAACACAGCTGTGCGCGCGACAATGTCTTTACATCTGACGAGACGAGAGCGTAGTTACATACTTCTTCTCTTTTATTTAATGTTCTCTATGCAAGAACAACCAGTGTGAATACTGGCAGACACCATGGTGTTGTCACTCGCCTACAAAATTTTTTGAAATCCTTTTCATTGGCCGCTCCACAGTATATTGGTTGTCAACATCATGTGCTAGATTTGATGTTAAAACATGTCATGGATGAGCTTTTAGAGGGAAAAACATCATCGCCCAATATTTCATACAATTTTATTCCAAATTTAATAGAAAATTACGATGATCTAAAAAAAGAGTATGAACAAAATAAAGAGTGTATTAAGGTTAAAAGCATTAAATGGCGAAATGACATGCAATACTTATATGAATTGGTCGAATCTTTTAAATACTTCGAGAAAAATGAACGTTTTCCCTACATAAAATTTAAAGCAATACCAGCACTCAGTAATGCCCGTTGGAATTCTAGAGCTATTTTGGCACTTTTAGCCTTTATACTTATTCCTGAATATCGTTTGCAATTATATCCTATTTGTAAGTTTGTGTGCGGTGCTTGGAGCGAAATCTGGTTTTCCGATCATACTTTCAACAAAAATAATTTCGCCACACTACAGAAATCATTGGCCGGCTTCACAAAAGCAAATGAATGTTTTCTCAGACATTGGGTAAATAAGCCATCAGCTATTGAGGAAGTTCAGCGAAGTAACATCTGCGCAGAGCGTGCAATTAAAATTGTGCAAGACATTTTACCATTGTGTAAATCATCACATACTTTAAACTTAAAACTTATTTCATATAACAATTGACAAAAATGTAAAAATAAAAATATTAAAAAAAATTAAAAAAAAATCTGACTTTTTTTAGAAATTCATTTTTGCGCGGAACGTTTTTGAACCGAAATCACCTAAAAAAGTGATATTCATTACTTGTACAATATTTGCCACCACGTGGTGGTATGCCAAATTTTTCGTCAACATTTGTTATATGCCTAATGTACATGTATGCAGAATACCACAGCCAGTCTCAGTCTTAACTTAACATACTTAAACTTAGCCGAAAATATAGGAGATTTTGAAATTTTTGTAAACCCATTTGAAATATTTTCTTTAAGTCTGAACCCTCTTAGACCTCTTTGTTGTTAATTTAAACCCAATTTGATTTTTAAAGGCATGACAATCCTCCTACATATACTTCAGAAATGAGGCTTCCCTGCAAACCATTTTTTCAGAGTATTCTGCATTGTAAAGAAATTTTAAAGAATTCGTTAAGATTTAATTCGATTTTTTTGCCGAATTTTCTAAAATGAAATAGATTACGCACACTTCCATTCTTTTACGAAATTTCGGAAGAAAATCTGTGAAGCAACGAAAATAATGCTGCTATGTGAAGAATATCTTTCCGAATTTTTACAGAATTTTCTTTATTTTTCGTACAGAAATTTCTTTACGAGTTCGTGTCAACCACTTCATATAATTTTCTTTGAAAATTCGTAAAAAAATCGTTACAGAAATGAGATACTCCTAACGATTTCCTTAAGATTTCGGGAACTTTGGTTTGCAGGGGTTTTCAAAACATATTCGGTATTCCTGAATGCATATCGAGTGAGTCGTTATGGCAACTTTTCTGTCAAAAAAGAAGCCAAATTTTAGATGGGCTACATAGGTCGAGGCTTATCAATTTTGTAGCCATATCAATTGAATATGAATATCTCAGCAAGGAAAATGCTGTGTAACCTGACCTAAAATCTATCAGAATCGGCCTTTCGTCATTGTTTAGAATGATATTAAATTGTTAGACATCTCTGATGGGAAACTGGATTTCAAAGTCTCGGTTTAATAATCGTAGTTATATTTTTAAGAAAGGTTTGCCACCCCGTTTGAAAATATGTTTTAATCCATTCCAAAGCTTTGATCTTTTATATAAGGATTTAAAAATTTCATTAAGCTTTTAAGTGACTGTTAATTGCAATTAGCTGGCAACCCTACTTTTCAAAATTTTTTACTACAAATGTTTTTATAAAACATCGAACATTGTTTACTAGAAATGTTTTTATAAAACATCGAACAGAATGCAAAATATGCATAAATTTTGTTGAACTGTTCATGCCTGATGTGGTTATAAAAACATAAAATAATTAATTTTTGTATATACAAGAAAACATTTTCGGTTATTACAATCTGCCTAGTAAAATTTTAAAAATATATAAAAATAATCATATTGGTTTTAAAGATTTCTGGAGGGAAGTATTCTTATCCAATCAAACGGTATTTATTTTTAATGATTCTATAGCAATTCCACGAAAAAATTTATATATTTTCACCATGTAAAATACAGTGCCACATTTTTATTCCATATTGCACAAAATTTTATAGTGCATATGGAAAATGTCTTCTTAAAATTGTGTCTTTTAATATCCTTGCAAATTTCAAATATTTTTATTTATTTTTTTT